TATATATATATATATTATTTGTGAAAAAATGTAAAAATTAAATTACTTTTATATTTTTACAATTTAAATTTTAAAACATAACTAAGAATATTTTTAGATATTATATTAAAAATATTTTAAAATTCTTATAATATTAGAGGTAGAGGGGATACAAATTAAATGAAGAAGGATTTTACTCCTCGTGCTCTTCTTCTTCCTTTAATCAAATACTATGTTGAACTCATCCTTTACACTATTTTTAAAATATATTGATCATAAATTATAAATTTTTATAAATTTTAACTTTTTGTAAAATCATTGAGTCCTAATTTTAGTTTAGGTAAAAAAAATATAGAACTAATATTTTTAGTTTTTACTTCATATAATAATTTTTAACTACTTGTTTATTTATTAAAAAATTAAATAAATCTTCACAAATATTACTCTTAAATCACAAGTGTTACTCTTAAATAATTTTTAACTTACATGACTGACAAACACTCATTTTATTGAGATAAATAACGTATTTGTATGCTAATATTATATATTTACCAAAAAAACTTCCTATAAATAACCGTTAGTAGCGAGCTATTCTTTATACCGATTCTCTATTCATCAAGCAGCCTCATTCTCGTTCGTAATGTACAAAACAAAAAGTCTTCTAATGTTATAATAAACCTATAAATATTTCAACTTTCATTTAACATTGGAGGCTTCTTTTCAATTTTAACAGCATGTTAATGCGCATTTCAAATTTGAGATACAGAAAACAAAATGCATTTATTTCACCCTTTATTTGCAGGGACAAGAATCACCAACCGCATGCATACATAAGAATTAGAATTGTATATACTAATTGCTGAATGTTAATCTAAATTAATTGAATAATTGATCTTTGTCTAAAAGGAGATCAACAAATAATATTTTTCAATAATTAAACCTCAAGCGTAATCAACACACATAAAACAAGACCAAACCATGAAATCCAGCAATTGCACCTTTACTAACTAAATAAAATTGGACAGAATCATCAACGCAAATTGCTCTATCAATGTAAATTTGTAGTCTAAGAGGGCTTTTCAGAGCAAAGAAGGTCATTTCCATAGCATCATCATCTACAACACATATATGTACATATTGTGCTGTAGAATAATTATGAAACATAAAAAGACAAGAAAACCTTTGCTTTTATGGCCATCCACCAGTGCTTAACATCCTATATAACCAGTACCTTATGCTCATTCCTCACTGGATATTGTAGCAGTAAACTTGATCGTCCATCGTTGTCACCTCAGAATAGATAATAGAACTTAAGACCATGCAGCAATCTAAATCTTCAGGATTTAATTCAACCAGGTGAATACATCTGTACCAGAGTAAATGGAAAAAGGACAGAACAAGTTAATAAAATAGATGCTAACATGAAAAGAGAGAAGAAAGGGGTTTCTTTTAGCATTCAATAATGGGGGCCAAGTGAGGGAACTTTTACTCTTAGGACCAGATGAATACAATATACAATTAAAAAATGTAGCAATTTACAGATAAAATGTATCATAAGCATAGTTCAGTTCGATCTGGTTGTTATATTCCAGACCACGAAAAACTTTAAACAAACTACATTTACCACATACAGTAACAAAAGTGCATAGGAAATATCAGAAAAATCACAGAACAAAGCAGCTTCTAGTTATCACCAGGTTTGTAGAGAGGATTCTGGCATGTCCTACAAACTGTCAAGGCAAATGGGCTGATATATTTCCATGAAATGCTTGGAATAACACTTATATATATTAGTCATCAGAACAAGCAAAGCATTGATCATTAAACACCACTGGCGGTTTGATAAGATAGCCAAAAATTGACAACATTGTTTTTTTTGTTAAATATGAATAATGTAGATATCAGACATGCTCGTTTTCATTTCATGCTTAGGAAAAAACTTAGGTGCAATTTTTAGATACTTTTGATGTTATTCTCCAATCAAAATGGGAGTTTCACCTTGGTAGGCAGTACCAAAGTCTAGCTTTGATTAGAAAATAGCAGTAACAACAATAAAAGAACTGCACTTGAGTTTTGTTTTTATGCTTTGGGGGATTGGTCACACACACACACACATATACAAGGAAACTTACGCATAAAGCATTTTAGGATATACAAATAAACATGCATATGCCGAGATAAAAATCCCAGAAAAACCCTGCAAACCAACACCATAAAACACATGCAAACACAAAGCCCAACCATTGAGTGATAATCCTTCTTTCCCCTACAAAAACAAGGCAACCTTACAATAATAAGTACACGAGTCTGAGATTAGGAGACTAAGCCACCCCAGAAATAGAGAGGATCCTTGGTGAGATTCTAAGCCCAAAGATGCATAGCAGTGTTGTTAAATGGTGGTTATGGCGGCGCCATAACAGCACCATGGCGGGGGTGGCCGCATTCTGTTATGGTCGATTGGCCTCTGTATGGCACGAGTCAGCCATTTTGCATATGGCGACCGTTATGGTGATAATGGCGTGGTGGTTTCCGGCGGTCATGGCGCCCGTTTTGGGCTTTTTTTCCATTATTTTGGGTTTGGGCCCAGTTTTTTTATTGGGTTTGGGCATTCCATTTTTTTTTCCATTTTCCTGAATAGGTTCGCGGCAAAACCCTAACCCTAAAGTTTTGAAAAACTGTCTCCTCCATGTAACGTCAATGGTGCACCTCCTCCGACGAGTTATGCCGTCGCCGCTTTCGACACAACCACCACGCACGCGCGATTCTGATCCGCTTCTTCTCCCTCTGCGCGTGATTCTCTCCTCCCTCCGCGCGAGATTCTACTCTGCTCCTTCTCCTTCCGCATGTGATTCTCTCCTTCTCCCTCTGCGCCAGATTCTGCACCTTCTCCCTCCATCATAAAAGGAGAGGAGCACGTGGAGAGGGGCAAGTAGGAACATCTACTAATCCTTCTAAAAGAGCCAAAGGAGTAGCTTCAAAGAACAAGGGAAAAGGGTTGAAGAAGTTGAGGCATCGGAAGATTCTAGCAGTGAGGAGGAGGAATTAGTGCCAAATGCTAATTTCATACATTTAGATGGAGAAGAAGCTGAAGGATTTTTAAATGACCAACATCATCATATGGAAATTAATTATGCAGACATTGATGAGGATGAGGAGGATTAAACAAAATAATTTTAGGAATTGTCATTATGTTTTGCTGTTTTTTAACATTGTTTCTTTGTTTTGATGGCTATTTAATCCTTTTGTTGGTTAGGAATTTATGTCTTTTTATGATGACTATCACTAGATTATAATGCCATGAACTTTAGATTGTTATATTGTTGGTTTTAATAAATGTGTTTGTTATTTTTCTGTTTTTGCATCATATTATATATATATATATATATATATATTTTGTCCGCCATGGCAGTATGACACTTAAAGGTCCTTGCTGCCATCCGCCGTATAACCTTCCTGACAACCTTGATGCATAGCAACGGCTTGGATTTCCAATAAAAAAAATTACATTTAAACTCCTTTTCCTCAGCTTTAAGCCAACTCCAAGAGACAAATTTGATATTATCCAGCAAAGAGGTCATGTCAGCATTTTTATTTTTGAAAATGACTTCATTCTTATGCTTCCAAATGGACCACACTCGCTACCCATATTTCCCATCAAGCATGCCTCATGACTTTATCTTTCCTCCTAGCACAATGTTGCCAAAAATGAGTAGAGGGACACGATGGTAAAACTGTCAAAACACCTTCCATCGATAAATATACATCCAAATAGAATAAGATGCCTTGCAAGTAAATAAAAAGTGCACCAAATTCTCATCAAATTCATTGCAAAGTGGCCAAGCTAAGCTAGATCTAGTGGCTATATTTCTTCTCAACAAATTATCTTTGGTTTGGATTCTATCAAGCACCATCCTCCAACAAAATCCGGCAGTTTTGGATGGGATAGGTAGAGACCACATGCACTTAAGTAGGTCACAGTCTACATTAGCTTACCTAACAAGAGTAGCATTTTGTAATTCATTGTATATGCTTAGGGGGATTGGTTAGTTTCAAAGTAGACAATAAAAACTGGGAATTTTGATTCTCTCCAGCCCTGCAGCCCCTCCAGCAATATATTTCACCTTTTTGTAATCTATTTAGTATTTTATAAAATAGTGTCCTGGTTAGGACAAGTAGCAATTTATTTGGTAGTTTTATATATTTATGCTCAAAAACTTCTTAAACACTACGCAAGTAGCAAACTACCTCTCACTTCACTATCTCCTTTACCAGCTCTGTTATTCTCACAAACTAATATTTATTTGCAAATAAGGTTTTTCTTAACTAGTAGGGAAAAGAGGCACTTCGTGCCTCTTAATTTTTAAAAATTTAAAAAATTAAAGAAAGACAATTTAAGAGTGGTTGTGAATGGTTATTCACAAAATATGAGAGGTTTTTTTTTTCTCAAGGGTATAATGATCCACTAAAAGTGAAGACCAGAAACAGTTACACCATATATATATATATATATATATATATATAGAGAGAGAGAGAGAGAGAGAGAGACACACACACACTAATGACACAAACTAAACACAGATTTCAGTCACTATCAAAATCTAAGGAGTCTCAAAATACCTTCATAAATTAATACATACTTGATACTTCACAAATGTCCTATGCTAATGAGCCTTGAAGCAAAGATTTTAGTCATTTAACTGGATTTTCTAAAACAAAACTTGATCCCAAAATCATAAGATAAAAAATTGACACTGGCAATGCAGCAATAACAGTTATATGATTTGCTTTGAAAATGATATTTGTTATTTGATAAATCAAATTCGAATCTACAGCTAGACCTTATATATTAAGCTGAAATTTGAGCTTTTTAATAGTTTGACTCTTGTTCAATACTTGCCATTAAAAAGGTCTGGTTTTTAACAGGTGCAATCATTATAAGTAAATCAATACAAACCCTTTATAAAAATAAAAAATGATCGAAATATCCTCTTTCTTGTTCTGTTTTTAGAAGTAATTGATCAATTTTCAGGAAATATAAGAACCATCCCTCCTTTCAGAAATAAAAGCAGAATAACAACACAAAAGCCAGAAATCTCGTATGAAAGATATTGTGCAGTTAGTGATGTATGCTCAACCAGTGCACTATACCATATGAAATAAAAGCAACAGTAACGAAACCTTAGTTAATTATGTGACAGTGATGTGCCAACCATCACATCTTGTTTGACATCACAAACTTTGTTTTTTTCTCTGCAGGCTTAAGAATCTGAAAAGAGCACATCAAGTTATCATCCACACTCATCATTGCACCAGCATTGTCAAATTCGCCACAGTAGTTTGGAGCTGAAAATATTGTAACAAGTTGCCTATCGGCGAAGAATTCATAACCATCCTCTACAACCTACACAAGATTTATAAAGTAAGTTTCCAGTAAAGTATCATAAGTTTTCCCTTCTTAGAGAAGCTGAATGAGTATTGTCAGAAAAAGAAAATATAGTGACCTGATGAGCACGACAAATGAGGTCCAAGTCATGCTTTGTCAAAAATTCAGCCACCTTATCGGGGCCAAAGGTGTAGGACACTCCTCTGTCATTCATACCCCAACCTTTCACATCCCTACCAGGATCAGACCAAAGCAAATCACAGAGCAAGCCGGTGTCCGGAACTGCAGTTGGACGAATTAGATTCCTGATTTGATCCAAGTTTGTGAGTTCAGGGGAAAGACCACCATGCATGCACAATATTTTATCATCTATAAGGGCTGCCACAGGAAGGCAGTTAAAAGAGTCGGTAAAGGCTTTCCAAAGCCTCACATTAAACCTCCGCTTACATTCATCATAAAACCCATAAATCCTATTAATGGAAGCACACTCGTGATTACCCCTCAACAGGAAAAAGTTTTCTGGATATTTGATTTTATATGCAAGCAAAAGACATATAGTTTCTAAGCTCTGCTTCCCACGGTCCACATAGTCCCCTAAAAAGAGATAATTCGCATTAGGAGGCAAACCCCCATACTCAAATAGCCTTAACAAATCACTGTACTGTCCATGAATGTCACCTGGAAAAGCAAAGAGAGATCTCAACCATGCCATAAAATAACAATACAGGCAATGTTAAATGACACAGAAAAGCTAACAAACAAAAACAAAACAAAATGTCTTATCTGTTGGAAGTCCCACTAGTGATATGACTCAAAAATAGTATACAATGTACATAACTTGAGTGCAACCCTAACCTCATGTGCTAGCTTTTGCAATTGAGTTAAACTCAAACCCAAATTCTAAGATGGTATCAATGTCATATGTAGTCAATGCAGGACTTGAATTTTTTCAAATATTTTCCCACTAAGTGAAGTTGGCCACATGGATCACTCAATGCCATTGTGTTCAGTTAAAAACCAAACTCCCCTTGTGGTTTTCATGGCAGTCCTTAGTCCAGGTAAAAGAAGAGGGATGTGTTAGTTCCTCAGCAGCCAAGATAAAAGGTGTCTATACATCAAACATATACGGCTCACCACAAAAAAGCTAACAAACAATATTCATGCCCTAAAACCAAAGGATGACCCACATTTACTTTGAACCAGCCAAAGATACCCCAAAACTAAAAGGTTCAAACTTGCTACAAACAAAGGACACCCAGAAGCATTTTCAAACCCTAAACAGAAAAGGGAGGTAAATAGAGGAGAGAAGGGGAAAAGGGTACCACAAATCTTGATGGGGGCTTCAAGTTCAAGCAAATTGGGCTGTTGAAGGAAGATGTCTCTGGAAGCGACGCAGAGTTGCTTGATCTCGGACTCGGAGAGCTGAACCTGCTTGCCGGGTCGGGCCAATCGGACCTCCGTTAAGCGGCGGATTATGTCATCAAGAACAGCCTCATCAATCACTGTCCCCTGTGAGCTCATCGCAGCCGATCAAAACAAAACCTTGTTTTTCTTCTTCTCTGCGGTTCTGAAGAGCAAACACAACAGACGGTAGCAAGCAAAGGGGTGAACCAACCAAGAGCTTTACTTGGTTTGGTTCTTTCTCTCTCTGTTACTCTGTCTCTCTGTGTTTTTTGCTCTCTTCACTGTTACCTTTCTTTCACCATCCCATATATATTTATTATTACTTATTATTTTTATTTATTTAGCAGATAACATAACAATTAACAACTACCCTTCTTTACTTAAAAATAAAAAATAAAACAAAACAAAACAAAACAAAAAACAAATACCCTATGCACTGATTTTTTTAATTCCATTGGATATTTTTGTAAACTCGTAGATTTTAAATTTATTTTTAGTTGTCAATTTTTTAAAATTATACTAATGGTAATTATTGATTGGTTGTTAATTTTTTAGGATAAAATATATTTTTATCATTTATTTTATTTATTATATTTATTTTTAAAAAATTTATTTTAGTCTTTTATTTATTAAATTTAGATTAATTTAATATTTTGAAATAATAATTGTAAAACATAATTTTAAATTATCTTTTAATTGATTTAAAACTTTAAATATGTATCATTAAATTTATTTATATAAAAACTATTGAATGTAATTAAAATTTAAAATAAAATATTGTAAATATAGTAAAAATTACATAAAAATAAGTTTAAAAAATAATTCAAAATTCAAAAATATAATTTTATATAATTTTATTTTTATTTTTTTGAAACATATTATTGTTCACATTATTTTTAATATATATAAATATTTTAAATTTAAATATTAGTTGAATTTCATAACTTTAATATAGTTAAATCTAATATTATAAGTTTCATATTTTTAATTAATTTAAAATTATGTCACAAAATTAAAAATATATATACATTATTTTAAAATATCAAATTGATCTAAATATATAAAAGATAAAAGATTAAAATTAATATTTTAATAAATAATGAACTAAAATAAATTAAAAAATAAGATAAAATATCAAAAGATAACTTAATCAATTCTTTATAATAACTATTAAAAGTTATATTTATAACTATTTTGAAAAAAAATTGATTTGTTACAAGTGTAAAAAAAATTATTATGACAGAAAATAGTCGATTACACTCATAGTTGTACCATTAATATGTTAATATGGTTTTTATGATTCTACCGAATCAACTAATATTCATGACTATATGTTACCATTTTTCTTGTTAAAAATAATTGAAATTAAATAATTATATAAATAAAGAGTTCTTATTTTTATTCGTATATGTTAAAAATATATATTATATCAATTTTGGTATATAGCAGAGAAAAATTAAATAAATTTAAGTTCATAGTATAAAGTTTTGTATATATGAATTATATAATAAAAAAATCAACTTAATAGCAGGTTTTGTAACAAAATGAAGTAATAAAAATCTTTAAATAATATACTAATTGATGTAGCTTGTAACGTAACTTATTTTTAATTTTCTAAAGGTGATATTCGTTGTTACGGAGCCTCAAAAACATGTCTAAATCATCTTTTGTTCAAAAATATTGATCAGAAGCTAGGTTGTTTTTTTGTGAAAAATCCCTAGAACATAAAAGAAGCTCAAGAATACTCATTCAAGACCATTATTTCTTTTCATAATTTTATTCACTACACATAGTTTCAGAATTCTAAAAATATAAATGTTGAACCCAACATATCCAGATTTCAAGCAATATTTTTGCATGATTAAAAATCTTCTGATAATCCAGAGAGAGGATCTTCATGCTCATATGCGTGTCAATTCGACTTTTTTTCTAAAATACCAAACCTATAAAAAAATTTAAAAAACTAAATTTTAAATACTTTTTTTTAACATTTATTAATCTAAAGTATCAATCAAATTTGTTGATTACTAATACCTATAGAAGAACCTCTTTTTAAAATATTTGATTAGAGAATTTTTTTTTTCTTATCCTAGATTTAGAATTCTTAAGAATTACAAAGTTTGCGGTAATAGTTAAAATTTCTTTGGTATAAAACTTATTAGAAATGTTGGTATAGATTTGAAATTAATAAATTATAATAATATTTTTTAATACATGACTATTTTTTAAAAAATATATTTAATCAAAACAATCTCTTTTGAAATATTTTTTTATTAAGATTTTATTATAAATATGACATTCAAATTTTTTATCTAATTAATTTTAAGATAATAAAAAATTAATTACACATATAAATAAATTTTACATATAATAATATTTATATTCAATAAAACTTAAACTATTTAAAAAAGTTGATAACTTATAGTTAAAATTATTTAAATAAGAATTTAATAAAAAACAAAAAAAATACTTTACAAAAAAGATATAAGTTTATATTATTTTATTTATTTAAAAAAATAAAAGTGTTATCATATACTATTAATATGTACGGACAAGACATGCTCTAATAATATTATTAAGCTTCAGAAGGTGAAATAATGAAACACATAAAATAAAAAAATAAAAATAAAAAAAAGGCTGAGAGAGTGAGAGAAAGACATGTTTTGGAAGAAGATGAATCTTAACTTTATTTTTTTGAAAAAAAGATAAATTCACTATATATTTTATATTTTTAATTTTTAAAATTATATTTTAAAAAATGATGCTATAATTTTTTTGTATGATTAAATTTTTTCTCTAAGTCAAAAAAATTGGATTTTCAAGAACAATTTTGTGAAAAAAAAGATAAAAATGATTTTAATAAACAATATTTTCTATAATTTTTTTAAAATACATGCAAAAATGAAAAACTAATATTTTTAACTTAAGATTCTTCTATAACTAAAACTTGTCCTCTCTCAAGCATCCCTTAATACTTTTTTTTCTTATAATTATATATAATTTTATATGAATATAATTCATATCTACTTTATCAGCACACAAGATATATATTATTCTCTTGATATAGTTTATTTTTTACTAAAGTATAAATAATTTATTTAAATAAAACAAGTGGTTATCAATTATGTTAAGCGGTATTGAACCTTGGTGCCTCTTCCCAAATCTAAATTACGGTTTTTTTAATACACGAATTCAATATCTTGTTTTAAAAAATTGAACTAAAAACTAATTCAAGAAAGACTTGTTTATTTCAAATTTAAAGTATATGTTCCCTGACAAAGTGACGCGAATTTTTCATATGTTTTTATTTATCCAAAAAATGGTTATATATATATTTTTTAAACAAATCAAGACCAGTGACAATTAATGCATATGGACATCCGAATACATATTGTGCAATCTAATACGTAGTAAGTCATATTTTGGCCATATACTTTAGTCGTATTCTAGCCACCAATTCAACTTTGTTTCACGTGAAAACATTCCAACATATATATAAAGGAGCATAATCCCACCATTATTTCACAAAAAAAAATGCTCAAAATTGCCAAGAAAATTCAAACAAAGAGCGGTTCATCTAGAACATCAAAACAACATGCATAGTCGTCCAGCAGACTCCCAAGGTATTTTTTTTTATAACAAATATACAAAACAAAATTAATCATTCAAAAGTGGCAATATGCAACCAACATATTTTTATCACCATCAAAGCCACTATAGTTCCAAAATTCCGTGACCATACAGAACAGCAGAGGAATGAACTCAAACAATGCATGCATCAAAACACCATTAGATTGTGATGGGGCTGTCAATAAAGGTAGTATGGCTTGTTGTGGAGGAGTGGTCTGTGATTCTCCTGGAAAATTAGGCTACTGCTCTATTCTTGAGTCTGAGTTGTGGGCGATTTTACATGGAATGCGCATTCTGGTTGGTAGGAACTTGAGGCAGAAGGTATTAGTGGAATTTGATTCCACTACAGCGGTTACACTTGTGAACCAATGAAGGTTGCTCCAAGTCCCATCCATACTTTGACCTTGTTAAAGAGATAAGGGAGTGGAGCTCTAAACTATCACTTTTTTCATGTTCTCATATCCTTCATCTTTTGTTTCTCCGTTGTTACTTACAGATGCTTCTGCTGCTGTTTATTTAAGTTAATGTTAAGTTCTTCAGATTTTTAGCCCTTGAATTCAAAAAAAAGAAAAACTCTTCATGAGAATTTAAAGAAGAAATGAGAGATTTTAAAATATTTATAGTATAATATATAAAATATTTTTATATTTATTTTAAATTTTAAAATTATAAAATTAAATCGATTTTAAAAAATTTTGTCCATGTGAACCAAATAAAAGAATTTCCTTCCTCAACATTTCCTCAAAAAAGAAAAATCCAACCAGTTTTTTTTTTAACCAAACTTGACCTCCACAATTGTTTTTTTCTTCTTCCACATAATATTTGTTACTATTTTACAAACAAATACAATATTTTTATTCATGTTTTCTATACATATATTTAATTATAAATTATTGTGTATGATTTATTTATTGTTTTATACTGATAGTTATTTTCATTTTTTGGTTAACATATATAACACATGTTTGATTTCATTTAATTAACTAATTTTAGGTAAATTACAAGTAAATGTAAATTCACATGTTTAATTTTATAGGGAGAAATAAAGAAGTTTGAGTTAAAATAGTTTATATATTGAATAAATATTTTTATATGTTCACTAATAAGTCATTTTTATAATAAAAATATTTGGTTTAAATATGTTGTTAGTCTCTTAAATTTAAAATTAATTTTTTTTAGTTTATTAATTTTAAAAAAATATATATTTAAGTTATTATATTCATATTTTATCGATGAATCAATAAAAAATATTGTGTACAAAATTCATCAATTAGTAAAAATATAATATTAAACAAGTTGATGATGTATAATTATCTTAACTATTATTTTCAAATATATTATTTGTGATCTTATAAATTAATTTTTTTTAAATTACAAGGATTACTTTTTTTTTAATTTCAGAAATAAAAAACAATTTTAATCTAATTTTAAAATATTAAAAAAATTAAATATCAACTTTTATATATTAAATATGAAAAACTATTTTGTGTAAAAGTATTTTAAGTGTTTTTCTCGTATAAATATTTTTAATTTATTATCTAATTTAGTTTTTTTTATCAAAATTATTTATAAATTAAATATTAATATTTTAAAATAAATTATTAATATTTTTTTTATTATAATATAAATTGTTTATTATATGTTCAGGCTACTAAATCACCTTAATTTGGCTTTGAGCCTTCATATAATCTATGAAAATCGGGGTATTACAGTTTACATAATTATTTATTAATTAAATTTTAATATTTTTAAAATAAATTATCAATAAAAGAATTATGTTATGGTATAAATTGTTTATTATAAAATTTAAAATATAATTTAATATTTAAAATTATCTATTCATATAAATTTTAAATATAGTTTATATATGCAAATATTATATTTATTTTATATATAATTTATTGCAATATATATATATATATTTTACACATACTAAAATATTAATTTAAATATAAATTACGTCACTTTAAATTAATTTCACTAAAAATTATTTTTTTTATCCTTACTATAGACAATTAGAAATCAAAATGGAGGTTTTACGGATATATTTAATTTCCTAGTGAATCGGATCGGACTAATCGGGTAGACCCGTATCCGTGTCTGAAACGAAAACAAGACGCTGTATTTTGTAAAACCCTTTCTACCTCGAGCATTGCTTCCACCAGTCATCATCCTAGGGTTTTTGAGTGCTGTCTAATTCGGAGGTTGAAGCGAGTGCTGTCTCTTTCTCCGCAGCTTCTAATGAAGGTCAAAGTCATATCACGTTCCGTCGATGAGTTCACCCGAGAACGAAGTCAAGACCTTCAGGTGATTCAAAGCACTCGACCCTTCATTACTTGTGTTCTCCTAATTGCTCAATTCAATCAAATTTACAAACTTTTGCTTTTTCTAACGCTGCCCCTTTCGTTCGGAAAAGAGGGTGTTCAGGAATTACGATCCCAGCCTTCGTCCTCAAGAGAAGGCGGTGGAGTATGTGCGTGCCCTTAATGCAGTGAAGTTGGACAAGGCATGGTTTCCTTTTTTGTGTGTGTGTTTTTTTATGCTTAGCAATCAGTGTGTTTTTATTGGATTTGAAGTTTATGTGTTGCTTATTATGTTTATTTTTAATATTTGAGGAGTTAGATTTTTGCAAGACCATTCATTGGAGCACTGGATGGGCATGTGGACGCTGTTTCGTGTATGACGAAGAACCCTAGTCAGTTGAAAGGGATATTCTCCGGTTCAATGGATGGAGGTACTTCATTTTTCCTGATTTAGCTATGCCCCCTGCTGCTTTATGTGTGCTTGCAGTTGTAGGAAGTAATGGCTGAATTGTAGTATTGGTTTGGAGATGGTGAAGGTTGGAAGAGAAGAGGAGGAAATTTATTTTGCTATGTTGTGGATTTTCAAAATATGGTGGGTTGATTATGAATTCTTAATCTTAAATTCAGGAAGTAGTTACTTTGGATCAGGAGGACTAGAAATGTTATTGAGAAGAGGAGACTGTTATTCAAATAGATTCGTGAAATCCTATACTAGACAACCAGAATTCTTCTGTCATAATAAGTTAGCAACATGAGAGTTGACAACTGACATCATTAGTGAATATTGACTCTTGGATATATGAGTACTGAGTAGTCAACATTACTGTGACTTATCTATCCAACAACCACCCTTTAATATTTGTAAAAATTTGGCCAACTTCTATCAAATTTTTTTGGGCTGGTTAGTGTTACACTATAGTTGTTTTAACTTTTTGAAGCCTCCCTTCTTGTTATGTGTGGCAAAAATGCTAGTAAATGTTTTCATGCTTGCTGTGTAACTGTTGCTGATTATGAAACATAGTTGTTTAAACTAGTAAGGTTCTCTTTGCACAATACATCATATACAAGAATCATTCATAAAATATTTCCATGTTAAAGAGATAAGAAATAATTGTATGGGAAATGTCTTTTGTATCCGTTCGCTTTTGCTATTCATCCATGTCTTGTAACTTCACCCTCATTTTTTTTTGGTTCATTTTGGTTCAATTTTTCGTTGATTTTCCTTCTATATAGTGTTAGGTATAGTGCATTACCCTTCTGTTGCACATTAGGTTCAATCCCCTGTATATTGTTATTTTCATACAATGCTGGATGAGTTGAGTTGCGTATGTATCAAGAAACCTGTAACATTTGTTTTTGTTGTGTTTGCAGATATTCGTCTTTGGGATTTAGCTGCAAGGTAATAAATTTCTTTGTTATTTTGTTTTATTTCTCAAAATGAAAAAAATTCTGCCAGGAACTTGAATCAAGTACATGATATTTTGTAGTCTCTTTGAAATGGAGAACATTTCTATGTAATACTTCATCCGTTTTTTTTATGTGTCCAGTGACCAATTAGGGGATAACACAAATTAAGGAATGTAATTAATATCCTTGTTTATATCAAAATTATTTTAACTTCCTAGTACGACCTTTACTATTATTTCTCTCTCATTTATGATAAATGTGTAAAGTATTTAAGAATTAGTTAGAGGGCATATATGAAAATACAACAATTAATATTGTCTTGAATATCTAAGATGACAGATAAAAAGAAACAAAATTTAACAGCACCTGAGCTGCCTCTTTTTTCTTAACTTTCTGTTTATATTTTATGGATGAACATAGACAATATTATCTCAAAAGAAGTAATAATTTATGTCTTATTAGTTATGAATGATCCCTAGTTTGCTGAATCAAATATGACTTGAGATTTTCTTATTATTTCTCTGGTTGATGGTATATTGACTTTCTGAAAAATGGTAGTTATAAATGAATAAATTATTTAATAATTCATCATATATATATATATATATATATACTATATGCATAAGAAAAAACATTGATTATTAATTGGCTTATGCATCAACTTATTTAACTAAATATTAAGAAAGAACAGGTTTTTCATGTTACAATATTTGGGACTTTACTATGTACCTTACATTGTTGCTCGCTATATTTGAAAAAAAAAAAAAGACGAACAGTTTGTCAGTTTCCTGGTCACCAAGGTGCTGTACGAGGCTTGACAGCATCTACAGATGGACGCATTCTTGTGTCATGTGGAACTGATTGCACGTAAGAATCTACCTTTTCAATCTTTTCCCCTATTATATCAAGCTCTCATATTTAGCCTTTGATAGTTAATTTTTCTGATGTAACGAATTTGTGTTCAGTATCAGACTCTGGAATATTCCTACTACTATGGAGTCAGATGACTCAACTAAGAGCACTGCCGAGGTGAAATATTGTGCTGGTATTTTTTTACTGTTGCCTTTTGTGGTTTTATTCCAGTGGGTATACTATTAACTCAATTTTATGAATTATTTTTGCTTTGTACAGCCAGCAAGTGTTCATGTTTGGAAAAATGCATTTTGGTAAGTTTTGGAGTGAATTATCCCAGAGGTAGATATTGAAGCTGTTATTTAACTATATTTTTATGTTCACTGAACATTGTTTTACTTTCTTTAATTTTAGGGGTGTTGATCACCAGTGGGATGGTGAGCATTTTGCCACAGCTGGTGCTCAAGTCGATATATGGAATCACAACAGGTGTTAATATCAATTTCTGTTTGCTCTACTTATTTTACTAGAATCACAATTGACTTTTCTAATTTTATTTTTATTTCACCATTTCATGTTATTGTTGCTACCCTTCTGCAGGTCTCAGCCGATAAACAGTTTTGAATGGGGGTCAGATACAGTAATTTCTGTCCGGTTTAATCCTGGAGAACCAAATCTCTTGGCCACCTCAGCTAGGTATGCGAGATTTCCTGTAGGGCAAGCACTACAGTATTGATCATGATACGATTAGTTTTTTTTCCCCAATAGATATCCTGGTCTTTTTTTGTTCTTTGTTTTGCCTGTTTAGTGTTTGTTTGCCAATCTCATTAAATTTTGTATTTTTCTCCACTGTTGATTTTTTCTACTGTTTTAGTGAGTTGCTATTCCTGCTTGTTTTAGTATCACATCTCAATGTTCCATTTCCTAGATTAAAGCCATGGTACTGTCAAACATGATTAAAACTGTAATTTAAATACGCTCCTAAGTTTGAGATAATCCACTCACTGCAAGTTTGACATTGATCTTAATTTAGTAGTTCTTGGTTTTTGTTGAAATTATAAGGAAGAAGGAAATGAGAAATAGAGATTCTAAATAAAATTATTTTGTATAATGACGTGATGAATATAATCCAAAAGACGGAGCTCTAAGCTTTAATTATATGACTCGTACCCCTAATTAAATAAAGAAACACATCATGGAATTTAAATATGGGAACTATTCGAAAGATATTATCTAAGATGCTCTAAACTATTATAAAATAAAATCATGTAAGTATCCTGTGAGATTTTGAGAGAGACCAAACAGAGAGAATGAGAGAAAATTCTTTATTCTGATTTTTTTTAAATGAGTTTTTCTGTCTTTGAAGCTTAAGAGTCTTTTATTTATAATTTATATGACTCAAGGCTTGCTTTTCTAAGAAGCTTACTAGATAGGGAGATAAGTCAAAAAAGAATTTAAAATCATGTTCCAAAATAAAAAAACTAAAGTGAATCTTAAAAATAAGATAAAAGACTAAAAGTATATTTTAGCTAAACATAATAATATATAATAAGGGGAGTAGTTTATGTTTCTTATGGTATGCATTTTGTTGTTGATGTTTTACTTATTTAGATTTTAAATAATGTTTACTTTAATCCACTTTATAAATCAGGAAAATTTTTAGTAGGCTTAATGTACTTCTCTCGTGTGTGTGAATTACCTGTTATTTTAACCTGTTTTCTTATTTTAGTGATCGGAGCATAATTCTGTATGATTTACGCATGGCTTCCCCAGTGAGGAAAATGATAATGATGGTAATTACTTCTTATCATTAATTTAAATTTTGACACATGGCCGCAGTTTTTGATTTTGTTATTTCTAGTCATCAATTTTATTGTTAAATGAGCCACCTATTATTTTATTTGCTTTTTTAATTGCACACTATTATCATTGTCACATTTCTCAACAACATTTTAACTGTTGAAATGTTTTATCATTTCGTTTGACTCCAAATATGTTCATGATTATACTAACCGTTACTTCATTATGGCAGACCAAAACCAATTCTATATCTTGGAACCCAATGGAACCCATAAATTTTACAGCTGTAAGTTTATCGGATGAATTTTTCTGATGGTTCTGAAGCTATTATCTTTTAGGGTTTTGGTTATGGCTAACATGAGATATTGTTGGGTTGAGATGTCTTTTTATATAGTTGTATAATAGTATCAATATTCAATAGTGATATTTTTATATTCTTATAACAAATTTCATTGCCATGCAGGCAAATGAAGATGGTAACTGCTATAGCTATGACGCTAGGAAGTTAGATGAAGCTAAATGTGTACACAAAGATCATGTTTCTGCAGTGTAAGATGATTTTTCTATAAATATTGTCTTTTTGGTAAATCTAGAATTTGTCATACCTACATTTTCATGTTTCATTCTACAGGATGGATATTGACTACTCGCCAACTGGACGGGAGTTTGTCACTGGATCTTATGATAGAACGGTTAGTTCCTTGAATTTTGTCTTTAATCATTTGACGTTTGGTCTAACTTAGAGAATGATTTCATATCTAGTAGTGATTTCTCTTTTGTAGGTGAGACTTTTCCAGTTTAATGGTGGTCACAGCAAGGAGATTTATCATACAAAGAGAATGCAAAGGTTCGCATAATTTATAAATGAAACCAAACATACTATTGTGTTTGATTACTGACGTCAGTTCTGAACCAATGTAAACCTTGGACATGTAACAATATTCTTTTTTTCTGTTTTTGTGGAGTTTACCACTGAAAGATTTCTATTATCTTATGGTAGGCTGAACTTTACCTTTGTTATGCAGGGTATTTTGTGTCAAGTTCAGTGGCGATGGAAGTTATGTGATTTCAGGAAGTGATGACACTAACCTTAGGCTTTGGAAGGCAAAAGCATCAGAGCAACTTGGAGTTGTAAGATTTCTTCCTTACCTCTGGCGTTGCTGAGATTCAAGTCAAATAATGGATGAATCTCGATGTTTGTTTATATAATTTTTTCCATTTTGTCATGAATTTGGATCTACTTACTGTATCTCGTAACATGGCTGTCATTTTAGTAGTGAGATAGACAGTTAGACACCATCTAGTATAAAAGAAGACCTATATTTTCTGTTCATGGTTCCAAATCCCTGAAGTATCAAAATGACAAGGTTATTCTAGGAGTAGAACTTAGTGGATCCAAAATATATGAGTTTAATTGAGTTTCATTGATTATGCTACAGATTCTCCCAAGGGAACGGAAGAAGCATGAGTATCATGAGGCCATAAAGAAACGATATAAGCACCTCCCTGAAATTAGCCGCATTGCAAAGTAAGATTCATCAAACAATTATTTTTAGGAACCATACCTGACAAGCATTTATGTCATAAATTATATATTTTTGCAAAACAGTTCATGGCATGTGCTTATTGTTTTTCTTTTTTGTTGTTATGCTCTCAACAGACATAGGCACTTGCCAAGACCAATATACAAAGCTTCCAAATTAATGCATGTTATGGCGGATGCTAAGAGAAGGAAGGAAGAGAAGAGGAAAGCTCATAGTGCTCCAGGGAGTATCAAAACACAGCCATTACGGAGACGAAGAATTATCAAAGAAGTTGAGTAAGGTTTTTCTGAGCCGGTGCCTGAAAAAAGATCCAGCTAATATTTATGAGTTGGCATGTGTTATTATACTGATGTCAGCATGCATGCATGCATGCTTTTACAGTTTTATGCTTGGATAGCTGTGTTGCATGTTTAGTATAGTCTGGCATCCTATATTGTTATGTACGTAGCATATTGTTGGAACGAGTAGCTTATAATGCAAGAAATTTTGGTTTATTCTGGATTTCAGTTTCTCCTTTTGCTTAATGTCCTTGCGCAACAAATTATTGTATTTTTTGATTCAATGGCAGATTACACTTTTGGTAGTATTTCTTGTTCACGGTACATACCAATTCTTTGGATGCTTCTTCCAACTGATTTAAGACTACAATTTTTAAACACCTCCCTTCCCTTTAGTATTTATATTTTGTTGGGAAGGCTATAATTAAGACTTTAACACTAGATTTTCCAAATTTGAATGAATATATGCATTTAAAGTAATTTTAACGTTGTGATTAGAGGTGGCATAATGGACGGACTTGTAGGGCTGACCTGAATATACATCACTTGGATTTTAAATCTTGAGCTTGAATTAGAAACGAACTATTATAAGGCCAACTTGATTATGATCCGATTTTGATTTAGTTTGCGATATTCTAAAAAAAGGGCTTTTTATTGGGTTTAGGTTTCATTTAAAAGTTGGAATTGAATCGAGAGTTTTTGGGTTGGCATGTTTAAATCGATTATGGTTCGTTTTACCATCTCTAGTGATGGTGTGCAAAATTTATGCAAATATGTAACCGTAGAATCTAAACAAACAAGGTAAAAGTCACATTTCATCCATGCAACATGACGTAAGAAAAAGGTTAACAAAATTGGATTAATATGTTCCTAAAAATTTATACTCACTCAAAATAGCATTGTCACTAGGGATGGCAATGCATCTCATGAGGTGGATAGGAAAATATGGATAGGAAAATATTTGTACTTGTTCCATGAGATAAAAATTTGTCCCATATCTGTCTTATTTGCATAGGTATTTGTTTGGTAGATATTTATAAATTTTATAAATATTTTGGGTATTTATGAATGTTTAAAATTATTTAAAAAATAAAATATTAAAAATAAATGATTGATAATTTTTAAACTTGTAATTAATATTCGTCCCTGCTCCATTTATTAATAAACAAAAAATATCCATATCAATCACTTACAAATATAAACTATCTATTTATTATTCGTGATGAATTTTATTTATAGATACATGCATATAAACATTTTTAGGCAAGGTACCTGATTTTATTGCATCCAACAAATAAAAAATCAGCATGTCTTTTAAAATATGTTTAGTATAGAAGAGAAAATATCGGAAGAAGAAGTGCATAAAAAAGAAATGAAGAGAAAAAAAAATTAAGAAATAGAAGTTACTTTGTTAAAGAGAAAAATCATTATCATCATTGATTTAATAACAACTTAGGAAAAGAAAGAGTTTGAGAGATAACAAATTCGATTAGAAACAAATTTATAAAATGATTAAAAGAAAAAATAATGCTAACACATTTATTTTAACTTTCTCTAATATTTTTTATTATTGACCAAAATTTATTAAACATTATAAATTTTAATAAATTCTACTATTTATTTAATAAGAAGCTTATTAAATGAGATGCGGAGCCATTAAAATATGTATACATTCTTCAAAATAGATGGTAGAGTTAAGGTAGCCTTGACAACCCACTAATAGTTTAATTAGTGAATATAATCTTCTCTCATTGATAGATGACATATTTTTGAATTTTTAATTGAAATTCGTATATAACCCATTAATTTAGAATGGGACTTCCTAAAGTATAGCCCAAACCTAAACTGAAAAAGGGGATTCTGCCAAAATAGATTTGCTTTAACAAAATTGAAATTGCAAGTCTTTATGATTCTTCAAACCAAAGCAGCTCATCAGCTTTGGTCCATATATATGCGCTGCTTTCCGTCCTTCTTTCCTTTTTATTCTCACTTCCCTATTCTTCTTGTAATGAATTTATTATCTTCTTCTTTTTCAGTTCTGTGCTCATTTGACAAAGCAAAATTCTGTTAACACCATCATATGCCATTGACTTCAATTTTTTCAAGTTTATGTTTGTCTCGGTCATATGTCAACCAAGAAGGGAAAAAAAAAAAAAACACTCCAATATGGTACGTCACAAAAGTATCTTGTTTCTTTACGTTATTATGCCAATAAAATGAAAATGTGATTTGCATTTGATTGTTACTCCTAAACTGTGAAGCATAAATTTTTACTCTGGTCAACAATTCCGTCATAATTGAACGGCCCTTGAAAGATGTTTACATTCAATTAGTTGATTCTTTTAAGATCTAATATTTCATACTTAGCGACATACATTTCTATTAATTTTTTTTTTAAATAATTTTACTTACTTTACTTTTTATTTATTATATTTTAAAATAGATTTTTTAATCCTTATATTTATATTTTTCAATCATTTTTAGTTCTTATAGTTTAATCAAACATCTAGGTATAGTGATTATAAAATTTGTCTTAAAACACAAGAGTCGAATTGATATTCTCATGTTTGATTTTTATTTGTGTTAAAATAATACTTGATTAATAAAAATTATATTTCATGAATATAAACTAGTATTTGATTATCAGCTTTGTTACTGTATGGATCATATTCATAATATCAAAAAAGTTATTATAATTTGAAATTGCCTGTGAAAATTAGTTAGTAATGGGTACTTGGCAAAAGCTGGCAAGACTAAAAGCATGTTTTATGAAAGTTTTTTTTTTTTTTTTTAAGATTTCATATTTTCGATGGATATTGGATTATGAGTAATGACATTCCAAATAAAAAATAAAAAAGACATGGGAGAGCATATAGTTTCATTGTGAACAAGGTAGCTCCTCTTGAAGTTTCAAGATGCTGCTACCATTTTAAGTAGAAAAAAGTGGGAAAACGTATCTTCAAGGTGCTCCCCAACATGTGGTCTGACTCGGATATTATTTCTTTCAAGTACAGAAAATCTAAAGATGAGATTTGAGGCTGAAATGGCTTCATTTCCCCTTTTGCTTCCATTTTAATATTAATCTGCTCATTTTCTGTCTAGATAGTAGCTACATACGAAACATTAAGGCTGCCACATAATATGTTTCATCTTATATGCTTCAAAACTTTAGGTCATATAGGAGTAATTTATAGGCCACAAAACTGTTTGAAGATGACAGACAATCCCCTTTTGAGATTAAAAACAGACATCCACTTTATTCCTATGAAACAGGTGGTTCAAAAGTGAAAATTGCCAACGTTCTTGAAGCTCCAATGGCACATGCCCTAGTCTTGGGTGCTATTTTAATTATGTCACATATTTTGATCTTCCACCACCAAATCTCTCCCTGGCTTACCCTGATGCTTGCACCTATTTCTCATGTAAACAAACGGAGAGAAAGAGACTAAGGCATTATCTACTTTTGTTTCTTTATTAATTTTTCTAATGAAAATAACATTCTAGAAAAAACAAAAACTATATACTCCAACAAATCATGTCAATTTTAGAAATAAAAATTAAAGTAGATGTGAAAAGATCGACAAACACGTGAATCAACGGATACATATTTTAACTTAATGAGTAGTTTTGAATTTAAGTTTTAGATATATAATTCTATTAACAACTTGAAGAGAGAGTTTTACCACTCATAATGATCATATCTAAATCCAAATATAATTATTTCCTATAAAAGATACTTGTAGTCTATAAAAATAAAATAAAAAAAATTGACCAGGTGCCAAGACATTCCACCAATTAGTCCTTTTGCTGGAAATTAATTCTCTATGTTGTGTTGGGCACAATGTAATTGGTCCCAACTTTATGGTAATATCGCTGGCTAAGAGAAATGTCACAGGATTGTTGGTTACCACAGTCCAATTATTAGGTTGGTGATCAAAAGCGAAGTTCATGTATGATATATGTATGGAACCAGAAAAAGGAAGGAGGCATGGTTGGAAAATGCTTTTTCTTTAGTCCTGGCTTTTGAAGTTCCTCATTTTCAGTGCCCCTTTTACAATTTTACAACAATGATCACAGAGACTGAGAAGCCCTTTTCCTTTTCTACTTTTGTATTCTTTTTATGTGGTGCAGTTACTATAACAGATGAAGCTAACACATCGGTTTGCTTTTCAGGCAAATGCTTATAGATAGCATGCAAAGATTCTTTTCTGAAAAATTAGCAACTAATTTGGAACAAAACTACATGCGACTATTATGATTTTTTTTAGCATTGTTTGCTTGGATGTAAAGCTAAAAAGTCAGTTACAGCATGAAGAATACCCATATATGCATTTCTTGGCCATCCAAACTTTGGAATAAAATGATTTTTTTGGTTGGCCAACTTGGGCATTTTCCTTTGGCATTGCTCATTAATTTCCCAGCTATAATTTAGTCCCGCAACAATTATGCTCATTTTTAAGTCAAAATAATATAACGCTTTGCAGCATCTCAATTTAAACCTCTTGTTATATGAAATGGAGTAATTTTATAATAAAAAATTAATTTAAATATTTGTAAAATTTCTTAAAATAATAGAATTTCAAATTTTTTATTTCACTTATATATATTATTATTATTATTCTCCTATTTCTTAATTATTGAATATTTAAAATATTTCTTAAATTATTAAATATTAATTTCAAAATTTATTAAATATTTATTTTCTAAAATTTAATCTTAAAATATTTATATATATATATATATATATATGTCACTGTGATATTAATATGAAGTATTTATCATCAAAAATAATGATTAATCTTCTTCGAAAATTGTAAACGTTTATAAGATGAATATTCATTTCTCAACATAATTTATTTCATATTCAAGATCAATGTATAAACAACTTGATTAAGGGATATAAGTCATTATTATTTATGTCAACTAATGTTGAATATAAAATCAATGTTATCTATTGTAAAAAATAAATTCCCATATTTAAAATAAGAATTTAAAAATTCAAATTAATTTATCCAAATGAATCATTTAAAAAATAAAAAAATTAAAATTAAAATAATTCAATTTTTAAAATTTAAAATTATTTAAAATTTTAAAATTTTTCATCAAAACGCACCATAAATAAATTTCCATCTAAGAGGATGAATTTCTATATCTTGTAATTAAGTTATTGAAATTTTTTTTAGGCCCAGAACGGCCTGTTCCGAAAAGCGGAACGGATTGTTT